GGCCAGGTGTGTGTTATTCCCTCATTATCCCAATTACAATGAGCAGATAAAAGGTCCAGAGTTCATTTCAAGTGTGCTATTTGCATTTGGAATCTGTTGCTGTCAACTCTCAAGATGAGATCCAAAGAGCTGTCGCTATCAGTGAAGCAAGCCATCATTAGACTGAAAAAACAAAACAAACCCATCAGAGAGATAGCAAAAACATTAGGCGTGGCCAAAACAACTGTTTGGAACATTCTTAAAAAGAAGGAACGCATCGGTGAGCTCAGCAACACCAAAAGACCCGGAAGACCACGGAAAACAACTGTGATGGATGACCGAAGAATTCTTTCCCTGGTGAAGAAAACACCCTTCACAACAGTTGGCCGGATCAAGAACACTCTCCAGGAGGTAGGTGTATGTGTGTCAAAGTCACCAATCAAGAGAAGACTTCACCAGAGTGAATACAGAGGGTTCACCACAAGATGTAAACCATTGGTGAGCCTCCAAAACAGGAAGGCCAGATTAGAGTTTGCCAAACGACATCTACAAAAACCTTCACAGTTCTGGAACAACATCCTATGGACAGATGAGACCAAGATCAACTTGTACCAGAGTGATGGGAAGAGAAGAGTATGGAGAAGGAAAGGAACTGCTCATGATCCTAAGCATACCACCTCATCAGTGAAGCATGGTGGTGGTAGTGTCATAGCGTGGGCATGTATGGCTGCCAATGGAACTGGTTCTCTTGTATTTATTGATGATGTGACTGCTGACAAAAGCAGCAGGATGAATTCTGAAGTGTTTCGGGCAATATTATCTGCTCATATTCAGCCAAATGCTTCAGAACTCATTGGACGCCGCATCACAGTGCAGATGGACAATGACCCAAAGCAGACTGCAAAAGCAACCAAAGAGTTTTTTAAGGGAAAGAAGTGGAATGTTATGCAATGGCCAAGTCAGTCACCTGACCTGAATCCGATTGAGCATGCATTTCACTTGCTGAAGACAAAAACTGAAAGGAAAATGCCCCAAGAACAAGCAGGAACTGAAGACAGTTGCAGTAGAGGCCTGGCAGAGCATCACCAGGGATGAAACCCAGCGTCTGCAGTCAATTACAGCCTGAAGTCTGGAATGCATAGAAACCACCAAAGGATTTGCAACCAAGTATTAAAAAGTGAAAGTTTTATTTATGATTATTATTCTGTCCCATTACTTTTGGTCCCTTAACAAGTGGGAGGCACATATGCAAACTGTTGTAATTCCTACACCGTTCACCTGATTTGGATGTAAATACCCTCAAATTAAAGCTGACAGTCTGCAGTTAAAACACATCTTGTTCGTTTCATCTCAAATCCATTGTGGTGGTGTATAGAGCCAGAAATGTTAGAATTGTGTCGATGTCCCTATATTTATGGACCTGACTGTAAGTACCTGTAATAAATAAATAATGTAAATTGGAACACTGGCAGCTAGATAGTGATGAAGAAGAGTTTTTCAGTTGTATACACTTGCATATTTACATGTTTGCATATGTGTACTGTATATGCAGGGTCTTTATGGAACATAACTAATATTTTTGTAATCTTAGAATCTTACTGCCAGCAAGATCTAGCTTAGAAATATGAGTGAATTGTTACGTTCATGTGCAAGAGGCCTAAAAGTAAATGTAAAAGACTGTGCCTACTCTAAGTTAAATGGCAGTGAGTGGTTACAGTATAAAGACCTGCTATTACGTGTATCTTCCAAGGATGATAACCTTCGTTATCTGCAGCTGAAATTGCTCCATACAGTATTTATAAGATCCTGAACACATTAGTTCAATGTCTGGCAAGATTGTCTTCTGAACTGGAAGAGTTGTGCAATCTTTCCTGTATTTGACACGACGTCCATGGAATGAAGACCACAGGACATTTTCCTTCCCTGATTAATTTATATCATGTTTACCCTATGCTGGAGAACACAGACAGAAACATCTTTTTAGGGAAGATGTCTGTGTTGCAAGGTGACATCTGCTCTGCCTGGTTTATGAGCCTTGTGGCTTCACATGTAAACTGAGTTTTATTGCTCCAATGATTAAATAAGCCAGACGCCATGGCTTGGTTAAATAGCTGAGCTGGTTGCGGTGTGTTATGTCTGTAATATTTGTGAAGTTGTTTGTGTGTTTTACTTAGTCCTGTTTATCAATGCAAACTGAATAAGAACAGTCTCTGTTACCCACAGCCGCAGAGAGGCTTTATGTTTTACTCTCCACCTGTCACTTTCCATTGCAGCTTTGAGTCAGACTGATAGCCTAGAGGCAACTCAGACAGTTCCTATTTAGCACAAGTTGTTTAGTGAGGTCTGTGACGATCACGGCGTCAGGCTCTAGCCCTTCTCACCAAACTCGTGACCGAAGGACTAGCCAATCTAAAACCGCGCTGTCACGTGCGTAACAATGCCATGCCCAGCTTGCACAAAGATTTTCCAGCTAATGTACCACAACCTATGTGCCAGCAGCCTGGGAGCGATTGTTACTGGGACAGGTTAATTACGCAATTAACCCTTCACACTGCCACCACCTCCTTTTTGTACAGAGAAAGAGGTAACTTGGCAATATCAGCAATAATACTATGATGGTTGAATAATCGTCAGTATACCACTGTCATCGCAGGCAGAGATATACCGAAGTTTAAAACACACACACAGTAGCGCTCTTCAGAGGCAGTGGTTCTTTAGTTTGCATTAAAGAGCTTTAGAAACAGTTCAACACTTTCAGAAAGTAAGATTTATTACTAAAAGGTCAAAAGGGTGCAATAAAAATATTTACAGAAAAAGATGTAGACAATATATATATATATATATATATATATATATATATATACAAAGAGCAATAGCACAGCAAAGAGATAACAGAAAGAAGTTTAGAGGGATTAAGTACTTGCCAAAAGCCCTGGGGTAAGCAGTTTTCAAGTTCAGAGCAAAAAGGCCGTCTCCCAGAGTTGGTTCCGATGTTACAAGGGAGAATCTTCAACTTAGCTCAGCTTAGCTTAACTTCAAGCATCACAGCCTTTATCTAGGAACTCAGCAGGGTGTCTCCCTGAAGCAGAGAACCAATCGCCTCATTTGGGTGGGTGTGGCAGGCGGAGACCCAAGCTACGGCCAAAAATCCCTCCTAGCTTATATTATGGTTCATAACTTACCCTGGGTACATATAACATTCTATCCACGAGTAGATTAATACGCAGAATCTTCTGCTGAACGTCTACATATGAAATATGAGATACCTGCTTGGATGGTTAAGGAGATATAATTTTCTGCTCCCCTGTATATGCCAGCTAGGGGATGTAATATACCAGGCGACTTGTCTTAAAGTTAGCCGTCCGAACATGTGCTCCGTGTTTATGTAATTATGTCCTATTTGAAGATATAAAATTATGTGGAAAAGTGAGTTTTTAAATGTTAGTCTGTTTTTACGACTACCTGGAATGTCTGTGAACTCAGTGAAGGACTTGGTTTATGGTTTTACTATATCCCAGATTGCAACGCTAACAGGTATCTAGGCACCAGCTCGGCTGGGGTTTTATAGCCATGGAGCTCTCCCATTGGGGCCTGATGCCTTTTGAACTCTGCATCATACAGACCACATGTCACTCAACAGAGAGGGAGGGGGGATGAGGAAAACGGATTTGGGAGTAGAAAAAGATAGAAGATGGAGGCCTTTGCCAAAATGGAGGTTTGCATCCATCTCTGTGTGCATGATTGCTACAAGGTCTGTATTTATGTAAATCAATTCCAATACTGGCAATGTAGGGGGCAGTAATACAAAATATGTGTGTACCTTTTATAGTAAGGTTTACATGTGTGGATAGTAAAAATGTGGAAATGATCTACCTGCCTATTCCTTGTCTATGAGGTGGGAAGATTTTCTACACAAAAGCTAAATGAAGGCCAGGTGGTTCTATTGTAATATCCAGAATTGGTGAGCCCTTGAGCTAAAGCGAAAGAGATTTATAATGGGTGGAAGCATAGTATGACTAGAAGATGTGGTTATTACAATGCTCTATGATTATTTCATGAATGTAACTATTGGCCATCCATAATGAAGAGGACGGGACTGGAGGGCTAACTAGGTGAAGCAGGGGAGTGGTCATACTGACCTAAGTCTTCCTTAGGCCATCTGACTAGTTCCCACCATCAAACTATATTTACTAGATATTATGACAGCTTTATTGGTTAGGTTCACTTTGTCAGAGGTCAGATAGCCTTAGTTAAAGCCATTAGTGGGCTATGGATAGTCTGACATCTGTCCTGAACATATTGCGGCAATGAGAGTTTGTGCTCACAGTTCACCTAGGGGAAGAAAGGATAAGAACATGGCTTGGTACATGTTATTATACCTAAGCTTCTCATCAGTCAGGAGAGGTTTTCTGCAATTACCAGACAACAAGGTCTTATTGTGTACAATGATTAGAAAGCACAAGTGTTTTATTTAGGAACACAAAAATGGTAGCCACCTAGATCAGTTTATAACTAGCACAGGAAAGCGGCTCGTGGGTATTGTAGTGCACTGTAAAATACACAAATTCTCCTGTACTCCAATCAGCACAAAAATATTCTACATTTAAGTGAAAAATAGAGGATTTTGTTACATTTGCAAATATAGCACATGCAAAGCCACATCGCCATGTCAGGCCACTTCTACAGAGTGTGATCCTTAACTTTAAATATCTGCACTTACAATCTGAAATGTATACTGTACAGCAATGGTTAATTAAGGAGCATTTTTCAAGAGTATACCTGAAGCTCACACTTGCTGGAGGCAGCTCAAAAAACCAAGAGTGGGTGTCTTCACAAAAACCAACAATCAAATGTCTGCCTTGAGAGAGTTTATACAGTAAATACATGTCCCAGGTAGATAGGAGTTGGGGACCACACATCCTAGAGTAGGGCTTGAAATTTCTACTTGCCTGTTCGCCAATGGTGAGTGGAAATTATGGTGGGGGTGAGTGTGTTCCCCAGGGCTGTCTTGCTGAGCAGGCTCGGAGCTCAGGCCAGATCTGTCATTGGCACTGGGAGCCATCAGATTGCTCAATAGCTGAGCGCAGTGAAAGCAAAGCAAGGAGTGTGTGTGCTGTGCTCTCTGCCTCCCCCTAGAGTGCAGTACCCGGATCTGTGAGTGAACAACGAAGTACTGCAACTTTTTATGGGGGGGGGGTGAGTGTACGTGTACATGTGTGTGTGTTTGTGTGTGTCTGTGTATGCATGTACAATTGTACATGTGTCTGTGTGTATGTACATGTGTGTATCTGTAAATGTGTATGCGTGTGTGTACATGCGTCTGTGTGTGTGTGTACATGTGTCTGTGTGTGTGTGTGTGTGTGTGTACATGTGTCTGTGTGTGTGTGTGTATGTACATGTGTGTGTTTGTGTGTATGTACATGTGTCTGTGCGTGTGCATTTCTGTGTATGCACATGTATCTGTGTGTATGTGTGTCTGTACGTGCCTGTGTGTGTATACATATGGCTGTATGTGTGTGTGTACATGTGTCTCTGTGCGTGTGTGTACATGTTTCTGTGTGTGTATGTACATGTCTGTGTGTGTGTACAGGTGTCTCGGTTTGTGTGTGTTTGTTCGTGGCGAGTAACTCTAAGGCCTGGGTAGTAGCTCAGGACTTGCAATTTTAAGCCCTGTCCTAGAGAATGTGGCAGTTTGGCTTGATATGTATTTGCAAGTGTATGCAACAAAATCTCTGTTTTTAACCTAAATGTTGAAACAGTTTGTGTGCTGCATAACTAGATTTTGTGCTGGGGAACTTGTATTGTTCAGTATTTTATGCAAAAACCAGGTTTTCTGTACAATGACCAGAAAGCAGAAGCGTTGTATGCAAGGACTAGTCAACCAAAGATCTTCTGTATGCCAATCGAAAAACAGACGTTTTTTACACGAGCTAGAAAACAAAGTTCTTCTCTACACTGACCAGAAAGCAAAAGTGTTAAAAAAACGAGCAACTTAAACAAAGACTTTGTGTACATTGATCATAATGTGTTTTATGCAAAAATCAGCAGACAGCATGCAAAGGCAAGAAAAGAAGGGCCTTCTTCTGTAAGTCATCAGAAAGGATACTTTTCTGTGATTGAAAACAGTTGTTCTTTAGTGTAATAGGAACACAGGGGTATTCAATAGTCAAAAAGTATGACCAGACAGAGCTAAGCTGCTTCAGAAAAACTGTTTTTCCTCTTAGAGTTCTGTACAAATACCTTTGTCGGTGACATTGAAGATAGGTTCTGATCTCCAGGATTCCACTATAGCACCCAATGCAGCATGCTAACCAGGGGAATGGCCTCCTAAGGAAATTGCCCTAATGTTGCCCATATACTAATCCCTCAAGGACAGGGAATCATCAGGATACATTCACAACTTACACTTCTGCAATCAGTACGTTTTCAGAATGGTCAGCTGGTCAGCTCTGATCCCCAATCTCACTCAGTATGTGAGGTATCCGAACCCTCTTTCTCACTTTCCCTCTTGCTATGACATGCTCTTCACTTTATCCCTGTATTTATTCAACAAAGCAAGAGTATAGGAGACCCACACAACTGGAGTAATAAAAATAAAAGTTGTCAATGAACTTCTTTTCCCTTCTCTTGAAGCAAACATAAGTGATCTTCTATGTATAAAGTACACGGAAATATTACATTTGGGTAGAACAGCAAAACCATAAGAACAGGAGGATAAACATAACCCATAAAACTTGCAGTGCTACATGTTTATTCTACCTAGCAATGGAATCAAAACGTATAATTTCTGAAATATTGTTTTCAGACAGTTGGGAAAAAGGAATTGGAGAATAAGGAAATGTGATACAGAGGTGCAGTGAAAATTTGCCTCTTATAAAACCATTAACAATTCTCTCCGGTTTTACGGTGCATGAATTCTCACTGTTGGCTGCTCCCAGCATCCTCTGCTAATGGATTTAACATTAGGTGTGCTTTGCTGGTGGAATGTATTTGTATCAAGGTTTATGAGCAGGTTAAGTAAAGACTACATCTCATTCTTTTATGTTCTGTTATTCTGCTTCTCTGTGTATGGGAAGAATCTGGAAATTAAGGATTTCCCAGCAGAGCTCTGGTGTTGTTTAGCGTACCTATTAACAGGGGTGAGCAGTAGCTCCTGGGATCTAATATGCATTGAGTCAGATACTGTATATCTGATGCATTTTAGGAGAAGGATTTTGATTTGTCCTCAATATAGTGTCAAGCAACATTACTACAATATTTACATAAGGTAAAGCATTTCAGTGAATGCAAGTATGATCTGTTAAGATTACTTATTATTTAGTAATTTCTAGAAGTTATGCAGGTCTGACTTTTTGAACAGAGTTTTAAAGAGTGTATAAGGCCATTGTAATGAGTTGGAGGAGCTTATAATCTCCAAACTTTCCAAAGGGCTAGTTTACTGTCCTTCAGGTTTAAGGGGAGCTGAACTGTGGCTAGTGGGAGTAGAAAATGCCCCAAGAGCAGTGCCCCGTCATAGCTTTAAATGGGAGGAATAGTGCCCCATTGTTTATACCAATGAGAGGAATAGTAACTCATTGGTGGTAACAGTAGGGGGACACCATCATTGGTGTCAGTTGGTGGAATAGTGCCCCAAGGACCAGATAAAGGCAAGCAAAGGGCCACATCTGGCCCCCCGGGGACCCCTGATGTAAAGTATCTTGCAGTTTGTGAAAGCACACACAGTGGAAATTTTGGAAAATATTTGACTATCCTTCCACCAGGATTTTGGGTTAGGGAAAAAAAAACAAGGTGCTTCATGAAAGTAGAAAGGATATTAATATTTTTCATTGTTTATTTAACCTATGCTCCAGGAGACTGAGCTGGGAGAAGGGTACCATTTGCCTCCTCAGGCAAGTGAACATTACGTATCTGGGCTGGTAACCCTGAATGGAGATACTCCCCTATTCAGACCTTAGTCAGAGCGGAACCTGAAGTCAGTTACGTCTGCGAGTGTTATGTAGCTATTAGCTCTCTGTTCAAACCTGCAATCACAGCAGCTAACAAATAAAAATCTTCAATCATCTACTTTGTTAGTGGCTCTGATACATTATTTTATGTACTTATATAGCGCTGAAAATTTTATGCAGCGCTTTTTACATATATATTGTACATTCACATCATTATTATTGTTATTATATAGTATTTATATAGCGCCAAAAGTTTTGCTCAGTGCTGTACATTATAGTGGGGGACAGAACATGAGACAATACAGTAACAAAACAATACACGAGGGGTTCGAGGGCCCTGCTCTTTCAAGCTTACAATCTAAGAGGGAGGGGATAGTGGTACAGGAGGAAGTGGCTGTGGGGGATGGAGTGGTAGGAGGAGTGGAGGAGATCGGCTGTTTAGTGAGGGTGGGGTAGGCTTTCCTGAAGAGATGGGTTTTCAGGGTGCGCCTAAAGGTGAGACGGGTAGGTGACAGTCTGATGGATTGGGGTAGTGAGTTCCAGAGGATGGGGGAAGTCCTGGAGAGGTCCTGCAGTCGTGCGTGGGAGGAGGAGACCAGGGAGCTAGAAAGTAGGAGGTCTTGTGAGGAGTGAAGAGTACGGGTTGGGCGGTATTTGGGTATCAGGTCGGTGAGGTAGTTTGGGGCAGCGTTATGAATGGCTTTGTATGTCAGTGTTAGTATTTTGAATTCAATGCGTTGGGCAATCGGAAGCCAGTGGAGGGAATGAGAGAGGGGGCTGGCAGAAGCGGAGCGGTTTGTAAGGTGGATGAGTCTGGCCGCAGAGTTCAGGATAGACTGAAGTAGGGATAGCCTGTGTTGGGGTAGGCCGGTGAGAAGGGGAGTTGCAGTAGTCTAGACGTGAGATAATAAGAGAGTGAATGAGTTGTTTAGTAGTGTCTGGGCTTAGGAACATACATATTTTGGAGATGTTGTGGAGGTGGAGCCTGCATGAGTTTGCCAACGATTGGACATGGAGTTGGAAGGACAGGTTTGAGTCTAGAGTGACACCTAGGACATTGGCTTGCGGGGTGGGACTGATGGTGGTGTTGTTGGTCGTGATGGAGAGGATGGGGGGGGGGCGCGGGCTGGGGGGAAAATTAGGAGCTTGGTTTTGGAAAGGTTCAATTTGAGGAAATAGAGTGACATCCAGTCTGATATGTCGTTCAGTAGGTGGGCGATACGGGCGGAGACTGAAGGAGTAAGGTGAGGGGTGGAGAGGTAAATTTGCGTGTCATCGGCGTAGAGGTGATAGTTGAAGCCGTGGGAGTGTATCACTTTGCCGAGGGAGGAGGTGTAGATGGAGAAGAGAAGGGGCCTGAGGACAGAGCCTTGGGGGACCACAACAGAGAGGGGGAGAGGGGGGGAGGTGGTAGCGTTATAGGTAACGCTGAAGGAGCGTTGGGATAGATAGGAGGAGAGCCAGGAGAGAGTGGAGTCTCTGATGCCAATGGAGTGTAGTTTATTAAGGAGGAGGGGGGGTGGTCAACTGTGTCGAAGGCCGCGGAAAGGTCGAGGAGTAGGAGGACTGAATAGTGGCCATTAGCTTTGGCAGTTAGCAGGTAATTAGTGATTTTGAGTAGGGCGGTTTCGGTGGAGTGTAGGGAACGGAAGCCAGACTGTAGTGGATCGAGGAGGTTGTTGTCAGTGAGGTGGGAGCTTAGGCATTTGTAGACTAGGCGCTCAAGGAGCTTGGAAGTAAATGGCAGCAGGGAGATGGGTCTAAGGTTGCTCAGGTCGGTGGAGTCCAGGGAGGGTTTTTTGAGTATGGGGGTGATGTGCACGTGCTTTGGGGGGGGGGGGGGTGCCAGTAGAGAGGGAGAGATTGAAGATGTGGGTGTGGGAGCGTAGGATGGAGGAGGAGGGTGACTGGAGGAGTTGTGTGGGGACAGGGTCAAGGGGGCAAGTGGTGAGGCGGGCTTCTGAGAAAACCTTAGTGACCTCCTTAGTGGTAGCAAGGCTAAAGGAGCGGAGTGTTGGGGAGGTTATGGTGTGCGGGGTGTTAGGTGTGGTGGGGGGCAGGGCAGTTGCGAGATCAGGAGGGGGGAGTTGATGGGGTTATGGTGGGAGGGAGGCTAGGTGAAGAGGTAGATTGAGCATTGGCGATGTCCTTATGGATTGCGTAGATCTTATTTTGGAAGTGATTGGCAATCTCGTGGGTGGTGAGTGAGGTATGGGGGAGAGAGCAGGGAGTTGAAAGTGGAGAAGAGCCGGTGAGGACAGGTGGAGAGGGTGCCCCTGATCCTCAAGGGGAGTACAATCTAAGGTCCCTAACTCACATTCATACATACACATACTAGGGCCAATTTAGACATGATCCAATTCACCTACCAGCATGTCTTTGGCGTGTGGGAGGAAACTGGAGTACCCAGATTAAACCCATGCAGGCACAGGGAGAACATGCAAACCCCAGGCAGGTGGTGCCGTGGTTGAGATTTGAACCAACAACCCTAGTACTACCAGGTGGAAGTGCTAACCATTTAGCCACTGTGCTGCCCATACAGCTGAATGCTGAAATCTGCAAAGCAAGTCAATGCTGAAAACCGTAACACTATAAAATGCTATATGCATATTTGTTAAATGAAGTTGAATGATAAGGATTATTTCTGATGATGACATA